ATGATATCAGCTTCCTGCAGCTTGTTTTGCAGCAAATGCCTTGGCTGTATCTATGTTCAGAGGGAGTCAAAAGCATTAGACTTCAGAGGTGTTGCAGGTGCCTATACTGCTTATGACTATGTTTACCATAAATTAAAACTTTGTTCTTTGCAAGAACTGTTTAATTGAATAATCACCATATAGCTTTTGCTGCTTGGATAACAATGGGTCATTGTGATGGAGGTTCACATCTTTCTTACAAAGAAATGCCTGATAACAAGGAGAGAGTAATTTAACTTGTTAAGAGATCAGAATATAAAGTGGAGGAGTCTGTCTAATTCAGCTATTTGTCTGATAATAACAGAAGGGTCGTAGGACAAGTCTTGCCTGCAAAAAAAGCTATAATAATATTTCTGTGTTTTGATTTCTCCTACTATAATGCTATCGTTGCTATGCAATATAAAGACTAGATTTAAGAATTTTGATTATGTAGTGGTTGTCCATGTTAAGCAAAAAAGTATGCTGGATGCTATTCCTGACACAACCCAATGAAAACGTAAAGGAAAGGACTAGCTCAAAAGGATAGTAAGTTTCTGGGTAGCCAAACTGGCAGAGCTCCAACCTTAGACATCCATTCCTAGTTATATGGTGTAAGAGTCTATAGCAGAGATGGTTTTTGCGATTCAATGTGAGAAAGATGATGAGCCATTGAGAGAAATTTGATGATAATTAATGAGGCTCGTTGCTCTCCCTGTTTTAGATGGATGTGTTTCGAAAGTAATGTTAACTTGCCAGTATACATTCTTCTTTCGCGACTTGGACCAAGCTTTACATCTGAACACTTCTTCATCCGCTTACTCCCTTACCTGAATGAAAGCCCTCTACTTCTATTGCAGCTTCGTGCCAAAGCTTCAATGCAATACACTTCCAAAATCTCATGAGGGGCTCCATTGTTGTTCAAACCTAACTAATTGAGAAGCAACGAGAACATGGAGCCTTTGAATATGTAACAGTCTTTCGAACAAATCCTAATAATTCGTTGGGCGGATGGGGGCATTACCATGGACCAATTCATTTATTCCAAGAAGTCCTGCACTAATCTTACAACCAAATAGATATTGAAAGAGTAAATATTCTCATGCAAGAGCGCATCTGGTGGATCCTAATAACATACAAAAAAAAATTAAAATAATTAGTTTCTACTTTCTAGTTCAAAAGTCCTTTCACTTCGCACATCCTTTAGAACGAAAGCAACTTCTGTGAAAGGAATAGGAGCTGCACTACTGGGAGAAGGGGCACCTGGGAACATCTCTACTGCTGCTGAACCATTTGAATTGTATGACAAGTTCTGCGTTGTCCTTATGGATACAAGTCCCCTTTATTTGAAGCTGTTTCACATGTTGTATTTGATCTCCTATGACCTTTCAGGAAAAGCGAAAATTTTTGTTTTAAGGATTTTCCTGTATTTTCGCCCTGAGATAGGATTTTCTAGATTTCCAAGCATGAACACCTTGTTTATTTTTTGGAGACATTGGTCCTTGAACTGTTTCCTTGATTAGTAAGGTCTATTGCTTACAGGTGTTGTGGCTAAAGAGTTCAAGAAGCTCATCTGAATAAAGATGCTCCAATAGTGATGCTTTTTCCAGGTTTGTACATCTGTCATGCAGAATCTTTTTTTTTTCCTTTGTCAAGTTTAATTGATTTTTCCCTCACATAGTCTTCCAACATCACATGTCAATTGAAGAGATGTTCGATCCTATGTACATACTTCAGTTCACCATTCGGAAGACTTTCACGTTACTGTTCTACTGAGATTTTGTGATGTCACTTATCTTACACCGGCAGAATCTACAGGACCATGCTTTATCTCCAGCACATTACAATGCTTGGTCAATAGGTCTACTTTTTTTCTCTAGCTTGGTAACTTTGGTTATTGTTCCTGATGCTAAGTTTGAAATTTGTTAAATAAGAGGCGACGGGGACCTGGTAACTTGCTGATCACTAAGCATATGATTCGTCACTATATATTTTTGGTTTCGCAAAGTAGAAGTTTACTGCTATTCAATTGGTAATGGCTGCACCGCTTAGATGATTCATATCTTGCGATCTCCCTTATCTTCGACACTGGTTCGTCTGTTTAATACGTCTCCTAATGTCCAGCAGAAGGCACAACCACAAATGGAGACTTTCTTCTTCCATTCAAGACAGGTGCATTTTTGTCAAATGCCCCTGTGCTGCCAGTGATTCTAAGATATCCTTATGAGAGGTTTAGTCCTGCCTGGGACTCAATATCTGGGGTCAGTGGGCATCTGATACAATTTTACTTTTTGGCTCAATAGATTTGAAATGTTACCAGATATGTATCTTGTAAACACCGTCACTTATTAGAAGAGAAAACGAAATCTCTTTCTGGGGCAAATATAAAAACACTATTTTACAACTACTTCTCTGTTGATCTCTAAATTGACAGAATTGCAGGCATTTTCTTATAATAAATTTGCATATCATGTGGGACTTCTATGTATCTTGGAAGACATGCTCGAAACTTTCCCCCTCACCAATGAGATTATGTGTTTTAATCAAGAATGGTCCTCCAGCTTCCGTAGCGCAACTCAGGAAACAGTGGCCTTGACTCTCTAGAAATGACAGTTATTGGAACCACAGTGCTATTTATTTAGTATTCATGTTTTCATGGCTGTTATCACGCTGCTGAGTTAGTTTTTGTAGCGCACCGAATGTATGTTTTTTTCAAGTCTATAATCTAGAAAATCAATTGCAGGTGCACCATCGTATTTTTCTCCTCTGTCAATTCGTCAATCATTTGGAGGTCACATATCTACCTCTTTACTACCCTTCAAAGCAAGAAAAGGATGATCCAAAACTTTATGCAGATAATGTCAGAAGGTTAATGGCTACAATGGTATGGTCCTATTTCTTGATATTGTTTGACAAATTTAAATCCACTCGTTGAAAAGTTGCTTTTCGACCTCTTGCCTGAGAGCTTTAAGTCCTTGAATATTGGCATTGGATATTGTTTAAGTGTTAATTCATGCTTAAGGAGTCTTAATCGACTAATTTGCTTACTAAAGTACTGGGAAAGAAATGCTACTTATCTTTGCTCTTCAAATTTGCCAAAGTGGACTTGATTAAATCTTCGCATGAGGACTATCTAATCCTCCCCCGTACAAGCTATTTTTGTTTTATTGGATTCTTACTTGAAGAGAAACTTAAGACTTGAGACTTGTGTATCGTGCCAAATTGGTAGCTGGGAGATACAAGTCGAGTTAATCTAGGATTATGTTTTCTGGATGACGGTATTCGCAGTAGGAATAGAAGCTCTGAACAGTCCATCAGTACTTCTCACGATGATGCTGACACTCGGCACTATTTGTATATGCTCCATCTTGCCACTTATATTTAAGGCCTCTCCTTTGTTTTTGTCCTTCTGTTGGATGTTCAGAGGCTACAGAAGGGTGGAGCCGGTAGTTAATGGAAGATCCTCTTTCATGAATTCATTTTGTTCTCCACCTGTCAAGAGTCCACAACCTGCTGACGCTTTGCATCTGCTTAACAAAGATATAGACCCTTCATGTTCCGTTCCTTGTAGTCTCTGTGCCTGGCTGGAGGTGTAATCAAGCTGAGTCGAGTCCATATGGTGCCAAGCTAGAGCTCGACTCGACTTGCATATTGGGGACTCGAAACTCAACTTGAGCTAGATCGAGTATTAAAATTTAGGCTCGAGCTCAACTCAATTACATATAATTTCCCTGTATTTAGTGTATGGGGATTAAATATGTATTTTCACGACTTATATGTCTTTTTTTCTTTGTTGTTATAGAATATTTTAAAAAATAATAATAGAAGATCGATTAGACTCAATTAGGCTCATGAGCTTGTTGAGCAGAGTATTGGCGAGCTTAAACTCACTTGACTAGATCTCCAGCAGCTCGAGCTCGAGCTACTCGGAGTTGCTTGACTCACTTTTCACCCCTATGCCTTTGATCGGGCGCAGAAGGAATTTTTTTGGGGGGAGGGGGTTTTGGAGGAAGAAGGCCTCAGGCCTCAGTCCTCAAAGATGTATTACTTGTTTTGTCATAGAAGTATTTCAGTCATTATCTGTTTTAGTGTTACCCTTGCGCGCGCACTTGATATCCTGTGAATTTGGTTTTTTTTTTTTCCCATGGCACTTATGTTATTTCCCTCGGTTGGGCTTGCGATATTCATTTATTTGGTTCAAGTTGCTCTCCCTCTTCGCCTGCAGGGAAATTTAATGCTGTCAGATAGTGGATTGGCTGAGAAGCGAATATACCACGCTGCTCTCTATGGTAACCGCATGCAGAAAGACGATTAAGTTATGCCATTGTCAATTATGTTATTCTCCGGGCACGGTAGCTAGTTCATTGGTCAAATACTTCTTGCCGTGGAAGCATTCCTTCTATGAGCTAACAATTTGCATGGTTACGCAACTGTGCATCAACAAGGCTGAAGCTATCTTGTGCCCCCTGCGGGTCTGAGGAGGCTGATCGATATGCACAATATTTTATACGCGTTCTCTTTTAATTCCGATGATGTGCAGAATCCTGTGCAAAGCTCCTGTTCTTAAGCTCTATCTGTTTTTGGTGTTCTAGCTTTTCGATTCCGGAGCAGAGTTGAATTTGCCCCCACTTCTTCGTCTAGGTGAACGGGGTATCTCTAATCCACTCAAAACATAGGAGAGCAGAAAAAAGGAAGTGATTCCCTAGGTGGTGAGTTCAGGGCACTTGATCCTACAAGGCTTCCTACAATAATGCAATGTTGACGTTTCCTCTAGAAGTACTATTCCGCAAATCTAGAGTGATGGGGGTATGCCCACAAATAGGTGATCTCTGGATTTTCTTACTTTGGTCCCGTTCCATCTATGCACGAAACTCGTAATGCTTACGATTTGAAGATGTGTGCTGTCCATGATGATTCTTCTGATGCCCAATTGAAGGACAAGTTGGGCAAAACATAGTCGAGAGAGAAGGGTGGCTTCGGTTCCGTTGACCGTAAAAATACTCTCCTCGGTGCTCTATATAAGCAGTTAGGAGTCTCATAGTATGAGAGGTAAGAGAAATGGAGTGTATTATTGACCAATACAGCTCTGAAAATCACTCAATGTTGCCTCACAACTGGTCTAATTTTGTGAACTGGTGCGGTATTTACTATGGTAAGCAATTCCAGATCCTGTGCAAGTAATTGCTGGGTGCGAAGTAAGCAAATTTTGACGGCTCATATAGATCCAATCCATGTCCTTCGCATGCAATTGCTGAGAACGAAGTAGGCAAGTTTTGATGGCTCATACAGATCCAAGCGAATTGAAGTGAGTCCATGATTCCTGCAACAAGACAGGACACCTCTCGCGTTATTCCAGTTCATCCTCAGTAAAAAGTTGACAAAGAGTTCACATGGCATCAAGATCGTTTTCTAGGATTTACGTACTATAGCCAAACAAGTTTCAGGAGACAATGAACCTAGAAATGAAACAGCAACAACATGAAAGCTGGACAAGTTTCAGGAGACAATGAACCTATAAATGAAACAGCAACAACATGAAAGCTGGACGAAGACAAACAGCACCAACAACACAAAAGTGAAACAAAGACCTCAGTACTAGAGAAATTCTTCGATCTATTGCAGTGAATGCATAGCGAAGCCTCCTCCCTTAGAATGACACTACAATACTAATCAGGTCACAAGGTTTGCGTGAAGACCAGGCAAAGGAGTAAGGGCAGACAGTTACTCATCTTAACTGACCCTCTCGGTAATTAACAACTTTAAATGGTATTCGCTCGTCAGATTTGCTGATGGTCAACTTGCAAGTTCAAAGGTCAGAAAGGAGTCGGTAGTCGCGCGACGAATTGCCTTGTCAACAAGATAGGTACTAAGAGATTCTTATGTAGCCTGGAAAATCGATTCGATAGTGCAGATGGTTGGTCTTTGCCCACTACAGTGATCTCGACATGCTCCACCTTTTTTTCATTTTTGAGAAGAACGTATTCTGACTATCATAAAATTTTACGAACCGGCAGACGACACATCACCTGAGTAACGAAAAATCACCTGCAATATGTCGAAGACTTGTTCCGCTATGTACTTTTGATGTGAAGCAGCACCCTTCTGCTGCAATTTGTCTGGATGAAGGCAAAGCAAGGCTTTCTGATATGCTCTCTTCACTGCAGGCCCTTCAATTATGTCAACAAGAGGAACTGGCTTCCACCCACTCTTCGGCCAAAGAACCTGCAATGGAAATTTAGCAAGTCCTTCAGCTGGTAACACAAAGGAAGAATGACCTACAGTTTCAGCAAAAGTTTCGGGAGCATTCTTGCAGGTAATTGTCTTCCAATTTTTTTTCTTGAAACTGTTACGCTTTGAATCACGATGAGCGCGAAAGCATTTCAGGATCGGGATTAAATTCAGAGCCGAGAACCTATTAGATGTGCACTGAATTGGACATCAGTCAGCAACAAGATCTTTTACTTTTCTGACTCTAGAGTGTCATATTCCATGAACAATTTGTGTTTTTTAATAATCTCTTTTCAGTCATTATCCTGAAGTTCATATAGATACTAAAAGCATGTGAAATAATTTGTGTACGACCATAATCCCAAGAAGAATCAGCACAAAAGAGCTGAACCAGCCTCACACTTTTCCTTCTGGCACAAGAAATAGCTGGCAATCGATACTCACATACTGCAAAGTTGACAGAAGGGACCGTATATTTCCTTCCTTCCCACGAGACCACTGCCGTATTTTAGCATCAATAACCTGCGTTATAAATTCCAAAATCAGAGCTTTTGTTTCAAAAGCAACCTACCTATATCAAACCATGCATGTGTATCAAGCATTACTATGATATCATCAAGTTCTTCACTTGGTTGTCTTTGCTTATCTTCATCTTGGGGCAATTCTTTTAGCTGCAGTAGAAAACTTCAGATCAAACTAACAGTCTAAGATCAATTGACTTGCATTGAGCTGATTGAAGAAAGATTAACCAAATAAATCTGTTAACAGATGGGAGTTATTTGTCTGAATAAGTTAATGAAGTACCACAAAGTTCCCACTGAAGGACTCATCAATTTCAATATCCGTGGGTCTTGCATCCTCAGGAGCAGATTCTGGCATAATAACAAAGATATTAGTATATAGCTTCAATCAATTCTTTTTTTTTGGTTAACTCTAAGCAGTCCTCGGGAAACAAGTAGACTGATCATAAGATGAAGAGGATGTGAGAAGTGAAATTACTCGTAGGTATAAGTTAATGTGTTGTTCTACATGGATAAATTTTTAAACTTTTGCAGAAAGCCTTTCTGAAAGTTTCATTATTAGAGATCGAGATGTTCATTTCATGCTGTTGCATGTGGTGACAGCAGTCACTGTGCGTCACTTCAATAATTTACAGTTCCTAGACAAACTAATAGAAATTTAGTGCATCTCAATTTGTTTGAACATTTGATCACCTCCCACTGAACATGCTCTGGCAAAATCAATAGGGAGTAAAAGACTCTTCTTAGTTATAGCGAGTTAAGCTAAACCTTCATAAATAGAACTAACCAGTACTTGATGCTGAGCTATTCTTCTCCTCTGATGAACCATCGCTAAAGAGAAAGCTAGCAGTACTTCTGCCAGAGTGTTCTCTATCGGTCTGTTTATGAAACTGATTTACCTGAAAAATAAAACAAGATATTTTTGGTAATTTGCTTCAGATAGGATACATATGCGCTGTAAAGATATTTGTGGAGTGGATCATTAATACATTATGATTGGAAGTATGATTGGAAGTTTCAGGTATTGTGTTGGTAGTTCCCACGTGGGACACTTTTACTTGTCGTTCTACTCCAATATTGGTATGATCTGCTAAATCGTCCACTTTTCCCCCTCTCTCGTTCCTTCTAAAGCTCCCACCTTGAGGTCGAACGTCAACTTTAGGTTTCAAAGGAGCTCCCTGATTGAAGATTTTAATGAACTCTTTAACCGTTCCTTTTGCTCTGCTTCTACCAATGCCATCTCGTTGATCTGTTGGTGATCCCTGCGATGCAACTTTTGTTACTCGTTTGCTGTTCGAACTGCGAGGACCGTCTTGTTTCTTTACTCCTTTATCAGCATCATTCTGCCCAAGAGACTGTTCAATACTCCTCAAACTTCTAGATTCTGCTTCCTTCTTCCTGTCTATCTTGACCTCAGTCATATCTGCAACTGAAAAAAGTGGTGCTGAATTCGAGATTGCATGGAAAGATATAAAAGCTTTAATTTCGAATGTAGACTACCTTGTTCATCTTTATCACTAAGCAAAGAACGAAGAGGTTTCAATTCGGGCTTGGATAGTTCTTCCTTTTTCTCCATACTCTGATGCAAATGGGTCTGAGGCGGTGCATGGGATTTTGTTTCTCCTCTTGTATTGCATGGCACAGCATCACTATGACCATCTGCACTGTTCCTTAAGCTGCTCAAAGTTTTTGGTCTACTAATATCGATGCCTACTTCTTCAGCAGCGTGGCTTGTTTCCGCTTTGACTTGCAAGCTTGATTGCTTCACCATCTCACTTTCCAATTTGCTGTTTTCAACTCCAGAGGATGCAGTGTTTGGCACTTTACTCTTCAAAGAGAAAGAATCGATCTTCTCAGCAGATGGTGATGCCAATTCCACTGTCCGATTCTGACTGTCTATCTTCTCATTTCCGTTCGAGCTTTCTGTTTTAACTCTCTCTTTTGATTTCGAACTGTTTGCTCTTCTAAGAGGCATCACCAGCGGTATTCCTTTGCTAGCCCATTTGTATATAGAGAAGTGAAATTGGGCACTGCTTGGCATATCTTGATCCGCGCCCTTATTAGAATTGTGGACTTTGTCAGATTTGCTCGCATTCAGAATCTTGTCGCCGCTAAGGGAGAACTCATGGGACAGAGGGCTTGGACAATAGGACGATTGAATGACAACCTTGGACGCATCCTGAACTTGTGTCATTCGGCTTGGATATCCCAATATAGAAACCTTGGGAGAGCGTGGGTGGAGTGCTGAGGAGTCCACTGGTTTGCTCATTGTCACAGGGAGGCTGGAAGATGAAGTCAATAGATGTTAAAACAAAGGCATTAATCGGAAATGTTTTATCTGACATTCTAAAGGGGTTTCTATAGAGTTTACACGACATCTGGGTCATTTCGATTCCTTGTGCTGCCAAAAAGATGACGCGGAAACCATTTATTCTATATGCTCGAAATTGTCGAGACAAGTTTGCTTCTGCTGTAAATGGAAAGCAGATCAAGATAAGATCAGCACCCCGGAATCACTTTTGCATCTGCTAGTGACCGGGCAAGTGGCCCTCATTTCTTTACCAGTCGAACAATCTATGTCCAAGAATTTGACAGACAAAATACACAGCAGAAAGCCTGTTTACAACAAAATTTGACCAGAACATTTCGGAATGTATCCCATCTTTCTAAACTATAGCAGATCAGTGAACAGTTTTTCATCGGTTTTATGGGTATATATAAAATGCAGCAGCCATTGTAATAAAGCATATCCAATTACTGGAGTTTCATCTAGAAACAGTTTAAGACCTGAACTGTGACGGAACCGAGGAGCTCAGCAAGGGCTTGGCTCGCGGTGGCAGAGGCCTCACGGGGCTCATGGCCCACGAACCTGGGGACGTTGAGAACACGTCTCGGTCATGCTTCCGCGGAGTGGAACTAGCCGATTCGCTGCCCCTAAATATATCATCAAAGAAGTCTTCACTCATGAATCTCCTCCTGCCCGTGTTTTCCTCTCCGAAAACCGGCTTCTCATTCTCACCGGTCCACGGATTCCTGTGCGGGGGGATTTCGCCTCTTCTGCTATATCCATACGAATCAGCAGCTTCACTGAGACTGTACTTCATCTCATGGACCGATGACCTCCTTGGCGGACCGCCGAAAACATCGTTGAAATCAACGTCCGAGTTTCGGTACAAATTCTTCGGCAAAAAGCCATGGCCCAGTACTTCTCTTTTAGGACTTCTATTGCTATAATCTACAAGAACATTGTCCCTCTGAGAGAATCTCTCCATTTCAATAAATGCCCATCAACCAAATTTAACTCACTGACAGGTTTTCGTTCCCAACCGTGACTCACCGAAGCCCAGGGAAGTCTAGTATTTAAAAAGAAAACAGCGGGAAACTCTTCTCGCAGAACTTCAATGAGTTATATGGGCTATGACATATTTGCAGAGAGAACTGAAGAATGTGAAACAGAGCATATAGCATCAAGAAATCAGACATAGACAGCACACCATGGAGAAGGAAGAATTGAAAACGAAAACACGGAAGGAGAAGACGACAAAGATGGAGGTGGGTATCGAGAGGAACGCAAGAATTGAAGCCACACAAGCTGGGGACTACTGAATCTGTGTGGATAAGGAGAAACTTGCAAGCTGACAAAGAGAAGGCATTTTAGGTGGTCACTTTTTTCTTTGGGTTTTGTTAATGTTCTTGGTCGTGAATTTACGTCGAATTCTCTTGGCGGACGTTATTCACTGGATCGTTTATGAAGGTGCATGAATTGAACTTCCTCTTCCAAGAAAACCCTCCATTTCTCTTTGTCAAATCATGATTGCACATCTGATTGGCTCCCTGATTTTTGGTTTGTGGTCACATGGAAGAGAACATTTTGACTTGCTTGATGAGCTTTGTGCTCATTGGTCTACTCATCGAGCTAATCGGTTAGTCGGTAACGTGTGGTATTGAGACGCGACTCGGTCAAATTGGCAAGAGGATGGATGACATCTGTACAGTATGGTATCCATCAATTCATCACAATCTAAGAAATTGCGCTAAAGAAAAAATTCGCTAAGATTCAGTCATCTAGGAAAGGACAGGTTCTAGTTTACTAACTTAAAGAAACGCGCATGAAAACAAAGTAACCATCTTAATTTAAACTCTTAGTTTGCATTTATCATATCATGTGTTTGGTTGATGTTCCAAGATGGGATAAAATCGAATATAAGGGGATATGATTCGAATAAAAAATTATCAAGGGAGGTGGAATAAAAGTCGATAGTAATTCTCTTATTCATAATTTAATAGCTATTTTTCAAAAAATCCTATCCTCTCTTTCTCCTTTGTTCACGTTGAAGCTTCATGTGTGACTCCTCTGAAACTCATTCATATTGAAATTTCAAAACAGTTCAAGAAAGCGGCAAGAGTTGAAGCACCTTCTTCTCGGTAACTCTTTAGTTCACATTGAAACTTTACGAAAGCGGCGAAAGAGTTGACGCATCATGTTTTTCTGATTCGTGAAGGTAAATAATCATGCTCTCTCTCTAGATTTGGTATTCTCTAGCTACTATCTCGTTAATGCCGTTGCAACTGGTTTACATTTTTTGTCATAGTGAATTCGTCATTAAAGCAAGTACCGTTGCATAGTCAATACTTGATACTTCTGTTGGTTGCGTTGAATAGTTTATCTTATTTAATTCAACTCCAGTTGGTGGCTTCAAATTTTGCATCTCGGGAACTCCTTTCATAAACAGTCCTGCCCTATCAAATTGGGATATCAATGGATATAAATTGATATAACATCCAAGACAGCAAGGCATAATCTCATCTATTGACAAGAACACTATATATTTTTCTTTTTATTTTCTATATTACCTTTCCCTTTTGATTTCGATACTTATTATCTTGTTTATCTGATTTTTCTTTTCCCTTGCAATTACCATGTCTTCCATTTCTCATAGAATAAAAGGCGATTTTGCAAAGTCATTACTTATGATATAACTTTTTATTAATCATTAGTCGTTTGAGATACAATCCATACTTAAGGTTTAGTCCATTAAATTGTTGACTGAGTTGGTACTAGGAGTTCTTTTCTGTATGTATTGAGAGAGAGGTTAGAAAGAGTAATTAATAATCATGAATCAACTTTAGTTCATTTACTTTGCGTTTGTGTATTTCTGGCAATAATCATGGGTTGACTCGGTGAGATTCTGTGAGAATCTGTTGACTTGAAAAAGATATACTATTTTGGATGATTTTGCTAATATCTAACTTGTCAATTTGTACTTTCCTAATGCTGTTGTTTTTTTCCCTCATTAGGATTGGATCACGATGATAGAGAAGAAATATTTAACACTCTAATATTAGATGATATGAATCTATATATGTTGCTTTTGTGTATGATGTATATGATTGTGGTGTCCACTACTGCTGAAAGGCACTACCGTAAGCATATAATGAAGGATCACACATTTGTTAGAAGCCAAGTTTGTTTACATCACCTTGACCGCCTCATTAACAGCAACGACTTGAATTGTGTGGGACAACTTATGATGGATAAACATACATTTGCTATGCTATGCGAGTTGGCCCGTACAATTGGTGAGTTAAAAAAAGATGGACTTGTAACTATAGAAGAACAAGTGGCAATGTTCCTACATATACTTGCCCATCATGTTAAAAATCGTGCCATCATGTTTAGATTTATGAGGTCGGAGGAGACAATAAGTAGGTTTTAATTTAGTTTTAAGCGCGGCGATAAGAATGCATAGCGTTCTTCTTGTCTCACCTGAACCGGTTCCTAAGGAATGTACTAACGAGAGATGGAAATGGTTTAAGGTATGTTTGTTATGCTATTACATGGATTAATTTAATACTTTAAAGGTAAGGTTATTTTATTAATTTCATGTTGTTAGGGTTTCTTAGGAGCATTAGATGGCACACACATTAAGGTATGTGTCCCGAAGGTTGATAAACCAAGGTACCAAATAGAAAGGGTGAGGTAGTGACCAATGTATTAGGAGTTTGCTCACGTGTTAGGAGTAAGCTGAGCCACCTCCGAAACACGTACCCTTATATATGTGCCATCTATGGTCCTAAGCAACCCTATACACATGAAATAACCTTACCTTTAAAGTATTAAATTAATCCATGTAATAGCATAACAAACATACCTTAAACCATTTACCTCTCTCGTCGATACATTCCTCAAGAACTGGTTCAGGTCAGACAAGAAGAATACTATGCATTCTTATCACTGCACTTACTAAATTAAAATACCTACTTATTGTCTCCCATGACCTCATAAATCTGAACTTGATGACACGATTTTTCATATGATGGGCAACTGCACGTAGGAACATTGCCACTTGTTCTTCAATAGTAACAAGTTCATTTTCTTTTATCCCACCATTCGTACGTGCCAACTCGCATAGTAGAGTAAATGTATGTCTATTTATGCTAAGTTGTTCTACACAATTAAAGTCATTGCTATTAATAAGACGGTCAAGGTGATCTAAACAAGCTAGGCTTCTCACAAATGTGCGATCCTTGAATATATGCTTACGATAGTGCGTTGCAGTAGTAGTGGACACCACAATCATATACATCATACACAAACGCAAAATCTGTAGGTTCATCTCGTCTATTGTCATAATGCTAAATATTCTTCTCTATCATCGTGATCCATTTCTAATGAGGAGAAAAAATTGCATTAAGCAAGTACAAACTAACAGCTTATAACAGCAAAATCATTCAAAATAATATATTTTTTTCAAATCAACAAATTTTCACATAATCTCACCGAATCAATTCACGATTATTGCCATAAATACGCTAATGCAAAGGAAAGTTGGTTTCATGTTATTAATGACTCTTTTTAACCTCCCTTAACACATAAAAGACGAACCCCCATTACCAACTCATGCAACAATTTAATGGACTAAACGTATGAATCGTATCTCAAACAACTAATGATTAATAAAAAGTAATGATTTTGCAAAATTGCCCTTTATTCCGTGAGGAATGGAAGACAGGGTAATTGGAAGGGAAAAGAAAAATCAGACAAACAAAGTAATGTAAACGATATAAACAGAAAATAAAAAGTAAAATATATTCTCGTCAATGGAGGAGATTAGACCTTGCTGTCTTGGATGTTATATCAATTTATATTCATTGATATCCCAAGTCGATAGGTTAGAACATTTACGAAAAGAGTTCTCGAGATGCAAAACTTGAACCCACCAAGTAGAAGTAGTAGGTATTGACTATGCAATTATACTTGCTTTAACGACGAATTGACTACGACAAAAAACGTAAAGCAGCAACAACGATATCAACGGGATAGTAGCCAGAGAATACCAGATTTAGTGAGAGAGAGCATGATTATTTACCTTTGCGAATCAAAAAAACATAATGCTTCAACTCTTTCGCTGCTTTCCGTAAAGCTTCGATGTGAACCAGAGAACTACGAAAAAGAAGGCACTTCGACTCCCACTCCTTTGATGAACTGTTTTCATGAAACTTTGATGTGAAAGAGTTAGAGAGGAATCGAGTGGGAAGCTTCAATGTGAACGAAGGAGAAGGAGAAGGAGAGTGTAGGGTTTTCTCTTGAAAAATAGCTTTTATATTATGAATAAGAGAAATCATATCCACCTTTATCTCACTCTCATGAGATTTTTTCTATATTTGACTTTTTCCTATTATGAACAGCTACCAAACACATAATATGATAAAACATATCATATCTTGACTTTTATTCGGTCGACCAAACTCAACCTAATTCTTTTGTTCACTCTCAGAGTAGCCAAATCTATAATAATTCTGTAGAAACTAGACACTCTTAACCTGAGTTGCTGTATTTCTTGAGTTTCGATTGCAAACTTTTGTTTCACTCACAACAAGATTCCCCTGCTTTGTCTATTTGAATAGAACTCACTTACCGTTGAGTAGACTTATATAGAGAAGTACATCTTGTTGGAAATCCCAATATATTATCCAGCTAATGATGAACAACGGGCCTTATTAATACATTGCTTCAACAATAAACACTAGGCTCCTTGATTAATTTTTGACACAAGTTTGAAAACAAATAAATTTACTGCTCTCGTAAACATGTCAACAAAAGAAAGTGCTGCTTTTGTTATTTTTTGGCACAAAGAATAGTTTAAAGATATTGGTTTGCAATCCTTTTTTTTTAGCGCTGAGGTTTGTAAGTCTAATTAACTGTGCATGTTTTCAAGTATATTTGTGCATGAGAATGATATATTTAGGATAAGAACAATATTTTTTTCATGGGCTTTACGTAGGAGCATATATGTCCTTTCTATTGATATGCACTTTCTACCAAATAATGGATTAATTAGGATATAAAACTATCCGACTTTAAATCTACAGTTCACCAAACAGTAGATAGAATATGATAAAATTCATGTATTTCTTATCCTATCATATTCAGTCCCATCCTAACTAGAAATCCGAATGGCTAAACGCAGCCTTAATGAAATTTCTGTTCTAGCCAGAAATGTTTGGCTTTTGCACTACCTTCATTGGTAGCCACCAATGGTGGCCAAAGAAAGAAATTATACTCGATCGTTTCTGATTTCTGGATAGAGAAGCTGAATTGAATGGAACTATCTTCTATCTGATCTACTTGGTAGCTTAAATTTGAAGTGGCTGTGAACCGGAAAGTACGTGCTGCTTTAAGTATGGGAGTGGACCATCTAGAGGGAGGACAATATGACCTTGTTTTAACGAAAATAAACGGAGTAGCAACCGACATGTTACAAGATAACAATATATAACAGAAAGAAGTTAAAACTATCTCAAGTTGGTCCTCATTCCTGATACTGGTTTTGCGCTGAGAAATATCGATCTGCATCACTTGTGATACCAATGTGGCTTGAATTTAGGGATGCAAAGAGTATCTTCTGACCGTCGTCGAAAGAAATTTCCGATTGAAGCAGTAGTTCAGGCCCATTTGTCTGCTTACCATTAGACCAGACATAAGTTCGGCTTGGGGCTTGACAGAAGATGCAAAAGACCCACCACCAGCACACAAACATGTACAATTCACCGGGTAACATTCGATGCACGAAGCATGAGTTCAGAAACTCTGATCAGTACCGACTAAAAAAGCAAAACGAAATGAATTGCAGGGAAAGAATTCTTGTAGGTACATTCACAAGTACAACCGACTTGATGCACGGCATGATCTACTGATGCTTGAAGCCTTGCATCTGGACAGGCAGAATCAGAGCTCGGAATAAATCGCCATTAACATTACAAATACAGAGGAGTGATGCAGGCATAGATAAGCATTCTTGAGAGAGTGTCCGCATAGTGTTTTGAGCAGACACACTGTAACTTAAATAAATTGAGAATAAAAGTTATACAGCTACTTCAAAACGAATACATTGAAACCAAATGGATAAAGTTACAGACACATTTCACATTGCTTTAGAAAAGGCATCGGATCAAAAGCCATATTTATCCAGTATATCAAAAGCTAGAAAAAGGAAAGCTGAGTCGAGTTTGGAGGTTAGATAAGGACCAGATCCCCTTGTCTTCCTACCATTCAGAACCATCAGGGAATGTTTGCAGAGCATCCTTCTTACCATTGATGTAAAACTCAACGATTGCTTTCATTCGAGGGAGTTTATCAGGGTGATAATTGACATGGACAATGACGGGCTTCAACTTACTTAGTTTGGCATCTTTCCTCACTGTCTTAAAGAGCACCTTACTGTTCATGAAAAGGTAGAAGTCCATCGTTCTCTTTGCAGCATGAAGACCATCATACCCAGGATGCGATGGGAAAAAGAGCTCCTCGTTGAAAACTGCTTGGTCCCATGCATTCTCCCGGGAAAGCCGACCTGCCACGCGGTCCAAAAGCTCAATTGAAGGAATCGTGGGTCTCATGTAGAAGAAACCGGAGTTGTAAACCCATATTCTCATAGTATGTGCATATCGAGCCCAACCCATGGCAGGTTCATCGAAAACATCATTATATCCGTAAGCCGTATAGTTACTGTGACCGTCACTCATGGATTCAACATCAGAATCGCGGTAAAGATAATCAAAAGGATTTTGTAAGTAGACAATATCGACATCTGAGAGCAGGACACTGTAACCCAGCTGCAGAAACTCCCTCAGAATGCGGAATTTCAAACCAGAGACAGCATGGTTGCCTCCACTCTTCCCAACTGCATCGATGTCTTGATCAGGGTCCCTCTTGTACACGGGAACATCATTTAACTTGCACAAATTTTCAATCTCATCGTCTAAGGCTACGACTAGGTAGTTAGGTATGCCAACTCTTTTAATGCTGGTGAACCAGACCTCCAACATTTCTTTCACATTGGAATTAGCAAGTGCCACTATAAGCTCTTTTCCTATGGCAACTTCATCCAACAGCTTGGCCAATCTCGGGCTCACCGTTTCATCAGGCATGACAGTTGGATTGGTCCTCAAGCCCTTGACCGTTCCAAATGGTCCAGCTTTGTGCTGAGCGCCCAATGCTGAGAACTGATTCTGTGCATGATCTTTTCCTTGTTCTGCTGACCTGAGTCTCTCATTCAATACCCTGATTTGGTTCTTGAGTGCCGTGTTCTTCTCAGATAACAATGCAATGTCAGATTTCAGCGAGTTGACCCTCTCCGACGATTCACATGAGGATGACCCAGACTGCCCAAAAGAACAATTTTCTGAACTGTGAGAGGGAAGCAAAAGAAGTCCCTATAATAACAGGACAGATGGTATACAATAAAAATCACGCACAAAGGCATCACCAAATCACTGAGCAGCAAGCACGTCGCACAATGCGATGCACTTGAATCCATTGAGCAATTTATATGACAAGGATTAAGGATGACCATCTAGAATGATGGGACAAATCACTCGGTAACGCATACATACATACAAAGGGAACTAGTTTACCAAAGCAGTGACCTCTCTCTCTCTCTCTCTCTCTCTCTCTCTCTCTCTGCCTGTATATATAATTGATGCTAGAGAATCAGTTACAAAATCAATTTCAGGGATGCTGTGGAACAAATGCGTCATATTAGCATTTGTCATTATGATTCTTCAGAAGGAAGAAAGTATGCAGAGCATTTGAACTTAAATAATCAAGCTTCGTTCTCACTCAGTTCAAGTAATTACACTCCAGAAAATATCATGACAACAAAAACCAATCCTTTAATAGAAAGAAGGAACGCACTACGACTACCACACCAAAGATAACCAAGTCCCAAACCCAGAGTCAAACCACACGAAGCAAAGCAAGTCAACTCCGCCCAATCCGCAGCATTTACCAAAGAAACTCACATACCCACGTTCCCAAATCCAAAAAGAATCGACGCTACAAGAGCGCGAACCACAACCCACGTTCACGCCGAAAATGAATTCGAACCTGGAGATCCGATATCGAAGCGATCCGGGCGCCCGGAGCGGCGCCGAAGAGGCCGCGGGGGTACAGGAAAGCGAGCGCGCAGCCGAGCAGGACCCCGACGGCGATGGCCGCGGCGATGCGAGATCCGCTGAACAGTTGACCCTTGTCCCGCATCAGCGACCCGTCCCTGCGGACCGCCATGGTTGACCTCGCCCGGGCTGGGGGGTACGCGCGCTCGGGGGAAACGACGATCTGGGTTCTCTTCACAGCATGAGAATCTGCAGCTGCGGATCACGCGAAGCTCGAAATTGGGTTCGTGCAGGGGGCGAAATCGGAAGCGCGGCGACTCGGTCTCGCGCTCCGAGACTTCGCCGCGAGCTTGAAGATGGGAGGGAGGGAGGGAGGATCTGGAGAAGAAGAAGAAGAAGGTCGTTAACAGTCGGAGGTCAGCGTATAGTTCTTGAGCAAGGGAGGGGCCCACCACGGCCCAGAGGCTGATGACGTGGCTTGTTGACTTTTCACTTTCGAAACTTCGCCATTGATTGTAGTTAGGTACGGTCAGGCCGAGATCTGCAACATTAGTAGGCCAATTGTCAATTATTGTAATGCATTCCGATTATATATTGGAGAGTGATCGAATGCCGACTTATACTCCATCACAAATGGTTCTTAAATTTTGTTCGATATATAATATGATCTCTGAATTTTAAATTTATTCAACGTGATCTATGAATTTTTGTTCAATTTAGTCCTTGGACCGTGTGAAAATATTCAATTTTGTTCTTCTAGTAATTCAAGTTTAGGGATAACATTGAATATTTTTACACAGTTTAGGGACTAAATTGAACGTGTATCAATAATCACATTTAACAAATTAAAAACTTACAAACGACATTGCACATTAGGCCAAAATTTAAGGACCACATTGCACATTGAGTAAAAGCTTGGGATCATTGATGTCATTATCATTTTATACCATCTTTGCAGACCGATTTTAGTACTTCGCAAAAATATTTATTATAGTTCAGTTATCTGCTCGAAAATGTTTTTCGCAGTATGATGGAGATAGATTCATGAGCAATCAAGTAGCAACATTTACCCGGCTTTCCCTGATATATGGTCATTGTTTAGCTGTTTTTAATCATCATATGTGTGAACTTTAACTTACTTTTTTATCCATGAGAACACAAGACAACAAAATCAGTGCACAGAATTAGAAAAAGCTGGAGAAAACGTGCTCGACCTAAGAACAGAGGAGTTTCAAAGCTCTTACCAAATTTCAGCACACTGTTTCTATGATACAGACACAAAGTAAAGTGCCCTTGTTCCGAAAACCATAGAAACTTGTCTTCCCTTATTCTACGTGAGTATGTTACAAACAGAAGTCCAGAAACAAAAGGAAGGGGAAAAAAAACAAGAATCTATGTATGGGTCCTCCTGAAGATGATTTGTGCTCCATACTGAGGCTGCAAGGTCACAAAAAGCATGGGAGCGTGAACATAAGAAGGCGACACCTCGAGAACAAATTGCCTGACCACCATGGCCAGAACAACCTTGGCCTCGGCCATGGCCAAGGTCTGGCCCACACAGATTCTAGGGCCGAGCCCGAACGGGACGAATGAGGCCAGGTGCTTTCGGGGCTCTGTGAATCTCGCCGGGTTGAACTCATCCGCGTCTTCGCCCCATATCTCAGGGTCGTGATGTACAGCAGTTGAGGCCAAGTAGAGCTGTGTTTCTGCTGGAATTTGAAGGTCTCCTAACTTCACATCTTTGCAGGTTTGCCTCATCAACATCACAGCAGGAGGGTACAGTCTGAGTGTTTCGTTCAATACCATCGTTACCTGTTCAAATTTTTCTCGAAAAAAGGACAGAAGAACAATGTAACTTTGAGTAGACCAAAATGTTGATCTTTCAATCAGAGTAAACTTTGGCAACCCAAAAAAAAATCAGAATAGACTTTCATAGATTAGGCCGATTGAGTGGTGAAATAGGTTGTTAGGAATATTTAAGCGAGCCAATGTCAATGGATTGTAGTGAGACTGTTCATACAGTGAATTTAAAGCATTAGATTGACCCCACTTAAAGAATGAGCCCGCTACGCGATACCTATATAATTAATAATGACCGAGTTTCCATGTATAATATAACTTGTGGGCACAAATGCAGGAAGAAAAATTAGTCTCCATGTCATGTGCAATTTCCACTTATTGGTTAAGTAAGACAATTTAAACATGTAACTTGGATATCCACAGAAGTTCTTCATCACACACATCAGGCTATTAAGTTATACCATCTCATCCTTGTGTTGGTCCTGGGGATTTGATGATGGAGTTTCAAATATTAAGTTCTTCCATTTAATAAGCTAGCCCAAGCTCGACAAGTGATGATTTTTCTTTATTTGACAGTAAACAACCAATGAAGAAAACTAAACGGGTGTACTGGTAATAATTTAACTTACAATCTTGAGCTCGTTCAGATTCTCCGCAGCTGGAAGCCCGGTGTTCCCGCAAATGCGGATCACTTCTTCCCGGGCCTTGTCCTGCCATTCCTGGTGCCTCGCCAGAAGGAGAAGCGCCCAAGTGAGGAGCGTGGCCACTGTTTCTTTTCCCGCAAAGTAAAAAGTCTTGCATTCGTCTATGACTTCCTCCACTCCTAATCTTTCTTCTTCATGCGACAATGTTAGGAGAGCAAGGAGATTGGAGGAATTTTCTAGTGATCTTGAGTTGTTCTCGATCAGCTTCCGGATCAAGTCGCGTGTTTCCTTTTCCAGTCTCCATCTCTCCCTGTTCTTCTGAGTCGGTAGGAACCTGTGTATCGCATGAAACGTGTGATTATCTGATCTTCCATGGATATGAAAGATTCCAAGCCAATCTAGGGAGATCAACCCCGGCATGCTTTAAAAGTAGAAAGGCGATGATTTGTGATTTGAGAAAAGACGCATCATTCAATCGTGTCTTTTTCCAGAAATAGAATCAAGAATTACCTATCGACTACCTATCAACCACAAGAGGAGGTACTTGTCTCACCGCAAAGCCTACAAACTAATAGCATTGATGCGACATATGTTCTTTCCTTGGATACTATATGTACATGTATAAGAACTAAGACATGTGCAGAGTAATGTGGTAATTGATTGAAATGGAGCAAGTTCAGTTAGACCTGAAGCCAGGAATATAGATACTTCGAATGGCTTGAGTGAAGAGGTGCATTTGCTGCTCCTGCAAGGCGAATATGCGCTTGCCCTCTTCGAAGCTGCTTCCGAAAGCAGTCCTCGAGATGATGTCAGCCGAGAGTTCGTTGAGCTCCTTTAGCACCTCCACCTCGAATTTCTCTCTTCCTCCTCTTATCTCCTCCCACGTGTCCAGCATCTTGGCCGTGCTCGCGACGATTTCTGGGATCCAGCCCTATTCCAAATGAAAGAAAAAGGCATCGTGTGACGTCCGTTCAGCAATTGACGCGGTGAACAAAACCACTCACAGACACGATTTTGAATGAGAATTTGTGCCTTTTCTTTTTTATGGGAACCATCAAGTCTTACAGATTTCATTGATAATACAACTGGTTACTGTCGGAATGCGCGGGCCCTCACGGCGTGGATGCTCTCTTAGGCAATTTGAAGAACAGTTGATCTTCGCCAAATTGCCAAGAACGGTACGGCAATTTGAAGAACATAAACGTAGCTTCTGCTTCGTTTACTTACTGCCATTTACCATCAACTTATAGATTGCATTTGGATCATTACCTCTTTTACCACAAAAAGGCACAATCGCTTGCTCCAAAAGCTTCGACCATCGAAGTTGTTACAACATTAGTTTTGAAGCTTTCATTTTTCATATTACTGTGCAGTGTGTTGGGTTGTGCAGGACTAAAATGTTATGTTCATATATCACGTCGTATGTTGACACGGTAAGATGCAATGACTATTTGATGATTTACACCGGCTCCATACTCACCTTGACTCTCTCCATAGTGAAGGCCTGGTTGGCGATCCGCCGGTGAACGGCCCACTTCTCGCCCACCAGCCCGACAAGCCCTTGCCCGAACAGCAACCTCGCCTGCGGGTTGAACCGGACCCTTTCGTACGACCCGCCCGTGTTCATCAGGACCTCCTTGATCATGTCCGGGTCCGAGATGGCCAACCTGGGCGTCGACCCGAACCAATAAACAAAAGTCTTACCATACTTGAGGTTCCAGTGGTAGTAGAAAGGAGCCGCCCTGTGGAGGATCCTGTGGTCAAAGGGCACGGACTTCGACCGAGCCTCCGCGAACAGGCGCTTGACCTCCGCCGTGTTGCCGAGGATCGGACGGTAGCCGGGGCCCCGGATGCCTTGCTCCGCGAAGCGGCGCTGTAGCCTTAGCGGGATCCATAGATTGGAGTATGTGAATTTTGAGAGGAGGATGAGAATTAGCAAGAGGACTGGAACGAGAAGCAATACCATCGTTGAGAGAGAGAGACGGCAATGGAGACTGACGAAGTTCACAAGGAGGAGTTGAATAACGTGGAGCTTGGATTATGATGTTTTCGCGACCGTGCTCTGGAGGAGCAGAGCAAGTTGTGCATCATTATAGAGAGGAAAGGTCAAACTTGATGTCACGCTTTTCCAAATAATTTCATGGTTTTGAGACGATATATATATATATATATATATATATATATATATATATATATATATATATATATATATATATATATATGTATTGGGTCCTCCAGGCCACTTTTTAAACCTTACAAAAAAAAATATTTGCGTTTGCATTGATTGTGCATTACAACAGGAATACATGCTTTGTAAAGGACAAAATGTTTTTGTCAGGTCACTTGTTAAACACTCGTTTAAAGAAAGTTTGAAGTTTTTGGTGCGGTGTCTTGATGTGTAATGAATTGAAAACATGAGTATAATAGAGTCAATTTGTTTGCGAATAGCTCAGGATGGGCTCAATGTTTACTTGAAATCGACTCGCCTATTTTCGAGTAGAGCTCAAGTTAGTCGAGTATCTTATTAAGTCGAGCTTGAGTTCGCTAATATTAAGCTCGACTCTATTATAGTCGAGTCAAGTTCGAGTAGTTTGAATTTCTATTTGAGTCTAGTTCGAGTCTAAATCACGATACTCAATCGAGCTCAACTCGAGTTTCAGAGTATCGATATACGAGTTGAGCCGAGCCGAGTCGAGCTTAGCATGTAATGACCCGAATCAACTCGATTACTCCCCTAATTGAAAATTAAAAACTTTCTTGACAAGATTTTTTACATTATCCACGAAAATAGTGAGGGTTGACCTAAGCATGATAATGACATGGGAACAGAGTGGTGCAGTAAGTCGAAAAAACACGCATGCTATCACACATTTTGCAAAACTAGGGGACTGATTTGATTTTGTATTGAAGGAGCCACTAGAAATGGCCGAACCAACGCATTTATACCACTCATCTGTCCCATGTTTGAATGCCTTGTCTTATATAGTCGCTCGCCTTAGACTATACCATTTCTGCCGACCTGCTTTAGTACTTCGAACATTTATCAATTTTTCAGATATCGACTCGGAAATGCTCGAGAAAGGTTCAGGTGCAATCGAGTAGCAACATTTACGCTACTTCCCTTTATGGAAGAAATCCTGTTTTCAATTATCAACTCGAGAGAGGTCATTATTTAGCTGTTTCTAATTATGATATGTGAACTTTACCTTACACAATCGACATTATGGAAGAAACCCTACTTCGGCTCGACCTCCTTAGATCGATGGGGAGAAGAATGGAGGAGCCATGATCATGGTCCATATGGTGAGAGAGTGAGAGAGAGATTAGGATAAAGATGGGAGAGGATAGGGGTTTTGTCGTGAGTGCTGGACCCACCTTTACTTAATCTGAGCTCGGGTTGGTCACGAGATTATGAGATTACTAAGAGGGAACTCATCAAGTCCAAGCTCGTCAATATGTCCAGTTGGACCTACCTTCACTCAAATGCTTAAGCCAATGAGTTACGGGTCAATTAAGATTATTAACTCTCCTGCACCACATTAATTATCCGATGTGGAACTTACCCAACACAACTCATCCGTGCATTTCAACTATTTCCTCTTCACGTGTAAGCCTAGTATTAAGATATCATTCCAAGTCAACATGTGTCAACTTTAGTTTTTCTAAATAAAACAAAATTTTCTTATCTTAAGTGCACATGTAAGTGATTAAAGATTCTATGAATGCAGGACAAGTATTTAGACAGCATATAAGCGTTGATGCCTGGATGCAGCTAAACCTTGCTCCTAACTCTTTTGCGTCTTTATTACTTAAGGTTCCGACTCGAGATGACTAGATGATGAAACTCTATATTTGCCATCCGAGGCAAACATCTCATGTCGAAATTCATATCGATTGCTTACAACATCTTGATTTTGTTGCACACAACTATAAAACATAAAATGATGGATAATTGCACAATCAGTTATCAATACTTACATTCAGTTCTAAACCTTTTAAATAAACCAATACAATTCTAAATCCTTGAGTGAAAATGAATAAAATCCTTGACAAAAAAAAAATACAATAAAATCCTCCCGGCCAAGTCTCGCATAAATTATCTAACGTGGCATTCAAGTTATTACCCAAAGTCCTACCATTTGAAGTGAACAATTTTAAACGATTGTTTCTGATTTTTATGATTTTTTTCCTTTCTTTTTTGCAGATCGTTTTCATCCTCTAGATCAGGCAAAATTACCAAAAAAGTTTTAAACCTATTGAAGTTGTCAATTCAGTCATAAACCTTTCAATTTGACCAATTTAGTTCTAAACCTTTTAACGATTTGCCAATTTAGCCCTAAACCTTTTAATTATACCAATTTAGTCCTAAAACTTTTGATGATTTGCCAATTTAGTCCTAAACCTTTTGACGATTTGTCAATTTAGTCCTTCCGATTAATTTTGGTCAAAAATTGTTAGCATTGAGGTTTAGTTTGCACCGGTCGTTCTACGTGGCACAGTTGATGCTGACGTGAACGTTTTTATTTTTTGAAAATTTAAGCATTTTTTATTCTTTTCTTTTTTTCTCTAACCCTAGGCCGGCGACCCTCGCTTGGTCCAGGCAAGGATGTCGCGGCTCTCACTGGCCACAGGTGAGGACCTCAGCATCATTGCCGGTCACAAGCGAGGACCACGCCCTCACCCAAATCTAGGCGAGGGCTGCAACGCCTTCACTGGCCAACAGACGAGGGTCGCTGGCTCAAGGTTGGAAATAAAAGAAAATAAAAGAAAATAAAAAAATTCATAAAAATTTTGAAATTTGTTCAAGTCAGCCTTGGCATGCCTTGTAGGATCGCCCGAGCTAATTAGACCGCCACATCAGCGATTTTCGGCCAAAATTTGTTGGAACAATTAAATTGGCAAATCGTTAAAAGTTCTAGGACTTAATTAAAATAATTATAAAGTTTAGGACCAAATTGACAAATCGTCAAAAGATTTAGGATTAAATTGGCCAAATTAAAAAGTACAGAACTGAATTGGTACAAATTCAATAGGTTTAGAATTTTTTGGTAATTTTTCTCTCTTGATCATCTTCAATCTCTGGATTGTCATGGCTTTTCACCTTCGTGCACTTGAAGCCACCATCGAACTCCACCCACTACGGTCTCCAAGCATTTGATTGAAGGTCTGTGACCTCGGATCCCAACGTCTGTCACCTCAGAAAAATCTCAAATCTGATGTCGACGAAGGTCCAGATCTTAGAGAGAGAGAGAGACAGCGGAACAGAGGTGAGGGGTGGCGAGGGTGCGGCGGTGCAGCGATTATCACCAATTCCAGCACATCCCATTGCTCCGAAACCGTAACTGGGCAACTAAACACGCCGTCATAATCGCCGCGGTCGCAGCAAGCAATTGCACGGCGAAGAACCAATCAATGGGGGAGCACCTAAAGCTTAGACTTGGCCATACTCGCGGTCAGCGGCATGCTTTTCCAATTAAGCTCAGGCCACGATGGGGATCCAAGCCATTCGAGATCTCCAAGTTGAGCTCGCTTTCGCTGTCGGCTTGTCGTCTAATTCGCGGCGGCTTCTCCACAAAGCAAGAAACGAAGCGATCAGTAAGCACAAAAGATGGTGAGCAGTAATCAGAAAATAACGAAGGATGAAAAATGAAAAAAATTTAGTAAAACAGCGTGGTTTCGTGGTCCACCTCACATGGCCATCCGTAACACGTAGGATGGTTAGCGATAACTGGACTGTTACGATCAAAACTTCCAGACATAGTTATGATTTTGCAGGCACACCCATTTGCTAATTACATGATCCTCACGTATCCAATTCTTTTAAGTCTTTTATACATGACAACACAAGACAACAACATATTAGTGCACAAACAAGAAAAACCTGAAAAAAACGTGCTTGACTTAGAACGAAGGAGTTACAAAGCTCTACCAAATTTCAGCACGTTATTTTTACGATACAGACACGGTATAAAGTTTCTACTATCCAAAAACCATGAAATTGTCTTCCCTCACACTATGCGACCATGTGACAAACAGAAGTCCACAAACAAAAGGAAGAAAAATGAACCAGAATCAAATATGAGTCCTCCTAAAGATGAGTGGCGCTCCATACTGAGGCTGCGTGGTCACATGAAGCGTCGGAGCATGAACATAAGAAGGCGACACCTCGAAAGCAAATCGCCTGACCAGCATGGCCAGAACAACCTTGGCCTGGACCATGGCCAAGTTCTGGCCCGCGCAGATTTTGGGGCCGAGGCCAAACGAGAGGAATGAGGCCAGGTGCTTTCGGGGCTTTGTGAATCTCGCCGGGTTGAACTCATCCGCATCTTCGCCCCATATCTCGGGGTCGTGATGCACAGCAATGAAGGCCAAGTAGAGCTCTGTTTCTGCTGGAATTTGAAGGCCCCCTAGCTGCACATCTTTACAGGTTTGCCTCGTCACCATCACAGCAGGAGGGTACAGTCTGAGTGTTTCATTCAATACCATCGTTACCTGTTCAAATTTTCTCAAAAAAAAAAGGATAGAAGAAAAATGTAAGTTTGAGTGGAACCAAAATGATAATTTTCAATCAGACTAAACTTTCAAAAATTAGGCGGATGGAGTGGTGAAATAGGTCGTTAGGAAAATTAGGCAGTTTGCTTGTTCATATATTGAATTTAAAGCATTACATTGACTCTGCTTAAATAATAAGCCTGTTAGGCAGTACCTAGATAATTAATCAGGACTGAGTCTCCATGTATAATATATATTGCAGACACGAAGAAATATTAGTCTCCATGTCATGTACAATAACTTGTTAACAGGCATGTGAGACAATTTAAACTTATTACTTGAATGTGCACACAAGTTCTTCATTACACACATCAGACTATTAAGTTACCACCATCTCATCCTTGGATTGGTCCTGGGGATTTGATAATGGAGTTTCAAACCTTTTCTTCTATTTAAGAAGCTAGCCCAAGCTCGACAAACGATGATTTTTCTTTATTAGACAGTAAACAACCAATGAAGATAACTAAACGGGTCTATTTGTAGTAAAGTGATCAGTGAGGAATAGCGATAAACTTACAATCTTGAGCTTGTTCAGATTTTCCGCAGCTGGAAGCCCGGTTTTCGCGCAGACATGGATCACTTCTTCCCGGGCCTCATCCTGCCATTCCTGGTGCTTCGCCAGAAGGAGAAGCGCCCAAGTGAGGAGCATGGCGGTCGTTTCTTTTCCCGCAAAGTAAAAAGTCTTGCATTCGTCTATAACTTCCTCCACTCCTAATCTTTCTTCTCCGTAGGATGATGTTAGGAGAGCGAGAAAATTGGACAAATTCTCTCTCGATTTCAAGTTGTTCTCGATCAGCTTCCGGACCGAGTGGCGGGTTTCCTTCTCTAGTCTCCATCTCTCCCTATTCTTCTGAGTCGGTAGGAACCTGTGTATTATATGAAACATGCGAATCGTCTAATCTTCCATGGATATGAAGACTCCAGGCAGAGCTAGAGAGATTAACCACGACTGCTCTAAAAGTAGAAAGGTAAAGATTCATGATTAATCGAAAGACACATCATTCAATCGTGTCTTTAAGCAGAAATAAGATCAAGAATTGCTGATCGACTATCAACCAAGAGTGGAGATACTTGTTTCACTGCAAAGTGTACAAACAAATAGAAATGATGCAACATACGTTTCTATTCCTTAGATACTACTTGTACATATATAAGAACTAAGCATGTGAGTAGAGTAAATTTGTTTATTGATTGAAATGGAGCAAGTTTAATTAGACCTGAAGCCAGGAATGTAAATGTTCTGGTGGGCTTGAGTGAAGAGGTGCATCTGCTGCTCCTGCAAGGCGAATATGCGCTTGCCCTCTTCGAAGCTGCTTCCGAAAGCAGTCCTCGAGATGATGTCGGCCGAGAGTCTGTGGAACTCCTTCAGCACCTCCACCTCGAATTCCTCTCTTCCTCCTCGTGTCTTCTCCCACATGTCCAGCATCTTGGCCGTACTCGCCACGATCTCCGGGATCCAACCCTACTCAAAATGAAAGGAAACGCATTATGTGAAGTCTGTCCAGCGATAGACGGGATGAAGAAAACCATTCACAGTGCAAAGATTTTGAATGAGAATCTGTGCTTTTCCTTTTTTATGGGAACCGGCGAGTCTTCCAGATTGCTTGTAAACAAAACTGATTACTGCAAGAATACGCTGCCCTTACGTTGCGAATGCTCTTTGGCAATTTGAAGAACAGTTGATCTTTGCCAAATTACCAAGGACTGTACGGCAATTTACAGAACATAAAACTAGCTTCTGCTTGGTTTACTCACTGCCATTTACCATCACTTTCAGATTGCATTTGCATCATTACCTCTTTTACCACAGAATCTTTTGCTCCAAAGCTTCAACTGTCAGAGTTGCAATGTTAATATAAAGCTTTCATTTTTCTGATTGAAAACATATCCCGAATTTGAACCCATAAAGGAAACCCGATCCAAGAAGTCCTAATTTGAGTAGGGTTTTTAAAGGGGTTCCTATTTTGGAATAAACTCTTTCCAATATAAGAAGTAGGTCTTTTTCATGAATAGCATTCAAGAGGAGCTTTTGGTGTTCAAGCTATTATATCATCTGGTAAGATTTGTGAATTCCTTTGTGTCCGCGAGGAATTATTAGGGCAAAATACTGTGTGAGTTATTAGTTGTAATTAGGAGTTGGGAAACACTGTGAGCATTTGAGTAACTCGAGTGTGGTTATAATTTTTGTTGTGTCACTTGATCTATAGTTGAATTATATGCTACACTCCCGTAGAGTAGGTCCCACAAATCGAACCATCCTGTAGTGGAATCATCTTCTTAGTTGTGTGTTCGATCTCCTCACTGATATGGATGCAACGAGGGTTTTGCCTTGTCTATGGTACATGGGTTGTGTCTGCAAATACTTATGGAGCGGTTAAAGGTACAAGTAAAATTAATGTCCTGGTGAGGTCCACCGGTTATGGCAAAGTTCAAGCACGGCTTGGACTTGGAAGATCTTTTTGGCAGTTGAGCCCATCGGGGGTTGTGGGAAGAGTAGTGGCAAAGTTTAGATTCTAACGAAACGATTGTAACTTGACTTAAATGTTGAGCCAACATGCGGATTGTTGAAAATATGTCTTAAGTTTGAACCCTTAAAGGAAATTCAATTCAAGTAGGACTATTAATTTGAGTAGATTTCCTAATTGAATGGTTTTCTAGTTTGAGTGGTTTCCTAAAGGAGCTTCCTATGTTGGATCCCAAACTTTTCTATATAAGAAGTGGGTATGCTTCGTGAATTGCATCCAAGAAGAGCTTTTGGTGTTCAAGTTAATAAATCTCTCGGCAAGATTGTAAATTTGTTTTTGAGATTACAAAAGCTAAACACCATATTACTTACCTTGCCAAAAAAAAAAAAAAGCTAAACACCATATGAATTGTTAGGTGTAATTGGAGGCTGGGAAATAGTGAGATTGTTTGTGTGGCTCGAATATGGTTGTACTCTATATTGTGTCACTGGAGTTATAGTGGAATGTGATGCTTTCCTCGTGGACTAGGTCCCACCAATCGAACAACATAAATCCGAAATCCGATTTATTTTATTGTTTGATTGTGTATTTTTCGCAACATTTCATATTACTGTACAATGTGTTGGGCTGCATAGGACTAAGATATTATGTTCATAAATCACGTCAAACAATGGCATGGTATGCATGTGATGACAATTTGATAATTTTTACTACCTCCAGAACTCACCTTGACTCTCTCCATAGTGAAGGCCTGGTTAGCAATCCGCCGGTGAATGGCCCACTTCTCGCCCACCAGCCCAACGAGGCCTTGCCCGAACAGCTCCCGGGCCTGCGGGTTGAACTCGATTTGGTCGTACGACCCACCCGTATTCATCAGGACCTCCTTGATCATGTCCGGATCAGAGATGGCCAATCTGGGCGTCGACCCGAACCAATAAACAAAAGTCTTCCCATACTTGAGGGACCAGTGGTAGTAGAAAGGAACCACCCTGTGGAGGATCCTGTGGTCAAACGGCATGGACTTTGACTGAGCCTCCGCGAATAGGCGATTGATCTCTGCCGTGTTGCCAATGATAGGACGGTAGCCGGGGCCCCGGACGCCTTGCTCCGTGAAGTGGCGCTGTAGCTTTAGCGGGATACATAGATTGGAGTACGTGAATTTTGAGAGGAGGATGAGGATTAGCAAGAGGACTGGAACGAGAAGCGGTAGCATGGTTGGAGGGGAAAGGGGGTGGAGAACGAGGAAGTTCGCGAGGAGTTAGAAATATTTGGTCTGGAGGAGTTGAGCAAGCTGTGCACAATTAAATAGAGGTTGGGTCACACTTTGGTGTTATGCTTCTCCAAATAATTTCGTGGTTTTGCAATGAAAAATATATAATATATTGAGGTCTTACTATCGAGTGCTTTCAGGGCACTTTATAGTCATATCTAATAAAGAAATATTAGCATTTAGAATGTATTGATTGTATATAAGATAAAAAAATTATGTTTTGTAAATGACAAAGGTTGTTTAACGGGGCACTTCTTAAACACCCTGTAACATAAGCTAGTGGTTTTTTATACATTTTCTTGCTTGGGTTACGTGTGATCGATTGGAAATAGCGGTGTAACCAAGTCAAGCAACTTATGAATAGCTTAGACTTCACTCGATGAATGATGATTTGTCGAGATCGGCTAGCCTAATTCCGAGTTGAGCTTGAGGTCGCTAATACGAAGCTCGACAACCTTCCCAACCTAATCAAAAGTATTCATTTTAACTTTTGAAAAATGCTTCATAATTACAAAAAGTGACTTGGAAGTAGTTAAAATTACATGGTGTACCCACACAAACAGACAGATAGACATACATACATACATACAAATGTATGTATATATGTAGGAAGTTAACTAATTGAGCTTGATAAGCTCGAGCTTGATCTCAAGTTTATATATCACTCTATTAAACCAAGTAGAATGCAAGTATTTGCAATTTCTATCTGAGTCAAGTTTGAGCCAATATTTTAGAGTCGAGGATCGAGCACCGATTTACGAAGCGTGTGGAGCTCAAACTTGGCATGGTATCAACTTGATTCAAATCGATTACACCCCTAGTAGGAATCTATATTATTTTACTATGAGTGAGAGCGATAACAAAAGAGGCAGTGAGATGGTTTTCAGAACTCTTATTTTTCTGTATTGGAAAAATGACACAAATGGTCTCTAAACTCTAACCCAATGTACAATGTGATTTCAAAACTTTTAATTTGTTCAATATGGTCTATGAGCTTTCGTCTAATGTGCAATGTGATCCATGAACTTTTAACTTGTTCAGTGTGGTCCATAAACTTTTGGTACATGCTCAATTTAATTTCTAAACTATATTAAAATGTTCGATGTTGTCCTCAATCTTGAATTAATGAAAAGATAATATTGAATATTTTCATATACTTGAGGACTACATTGAATAAATATCAAAAGTCCACGGATCATGTTGAACAAATTAAAAGTTTATGGATTATATTGCACTTTGAGTTAAAGTTTAGGGACCACATTAAATAAATTAAAATTCAGAAATCATGTTACACAAAATCCAGAAATTATTTGTGTCATTATTCGTTTTTAAATTAAAGTCCTGAACCTCGCATTGCCCATGAAAGAGGGTTGAGTGCATGCCATGCTGATAGTGAGGGTTGATCTACGCATGATAATTACATGAGCACAGTATTTCTTATAAGGAGAATATATCTATATGTATTTTATAGGATGAGTAAGAGCGATGACAATTGACAAAAGAGGTAGTAAGACAAAAAAATAATAATTGAAATGGGTTTTCAAGATCTCGTATCTTTCGGAATTGAAGTCTTGAAACAGGATCGAGTGCATACTAGGTTGATTGTGAGTGTTCACCTACGCTTGATAATCACATGGAAAAAGAAAAAAAAAATTATAAAGAGATAGTTTCTTTAGGGTTTATGCTTAAAAGGAAAATGAGAGGGCGACAAAGCAATTAATCCTTCCTTAGAGATTTCTACCACAAATTTTCTCGAAAACGCCGGACACGTTGTTTGTCCGGTTTCCCAAGAAAATTGTGAATCTGCACGTCAGGTGGATCCTTTTAAATTAATAAAATCAAAAAGTCAAAATAAAAAAATTAAGAAAATAGGAGAGATATATACTAGAAACGTCTTCAATATAAAATATCTTTACGTAAGCGTTAAAAAAATATTTTAGACATCTTTATTACAAGGTCTGTACGCAACCTTAATAAGCTCTACCTTTAATTCATTTTTTGGCTGTTCGGATTGCAATTACGAGCTAGTCAACGTTAAACCTTCGCAATCCTAGTGAATGATATTTATGCCTCAAATCGACTGATGCAGGAGACTGGTGGTAGTCGCAATATGGAGTATTTGCGTTAAATCCCCGTTCTCATCCTTTATCCATAAAAAAGAAATTAAATAGATATTTTTTTTTTAGAAACTTGATGTTTCTTTTGGTACAGTAAGTGTATCTTGTCAGGTTCAAATGAATTTACAATTTGGGTTGATCATGTAAGGTGTAAACAAAAGAACAAGGAAAAAAATGGGAAATTAAAGATTGGCTTGTATTTCGATTTGTTACAATCCATAATTTGTTTTCTTAATTTCCTCCGGTGACCTAAAACATATGCTGAAACAAACTGTGTGAAGCTGCCTTCAGTGTATGTCCAAAAAAAAAAAGAAGCTGCTTTCAGTAAGAGTGCATCAGATCTGTGTTGGTAAAGGAAAGACCAGTCACGGAGCTAAGAAATTAGGATGTTGGAGGAGTTGTCTTCGTCAGTTTGTCATCGTGCGCTTGAATATTTTCGCACATGAATCGTTTCTTCCTTAAAAATCAAACCGTTTAAGGCGCGAATGATAATCATTATGTTTCTCTATTTTTCTATTTTTCTGTTCCTGGGAATAGGTTAGGAATAGAAATCCGTTTGGTAACGCAATTTCATTTTTCTATTTCTAGAATAAATTTCTACTCCAGAAATAGGTTTGAAATAGAAATCAGAAGTAAAAAAAATCTATTTTTTTTATTTCTGAAACAAAAATGAAAAATAAAAACTTTTCTCATCACTCACCCTCACTACTAGCCAGCTGCCCACCCACCACCCGCCGGTCACCTCCCACCGCCGCCGGCTGCCTCCCACCACCGTCGTCCGTTGTCGTTTGCCACCGTCCTCCGTCGCCGGCTGCCTCCCACTGCCTCTCAATGCCGTCCACCACCACTTGCCGGCGGCCATCCACTGCTACCTGCCATTTGTCGTCCTTCGCCACTGCCTGACACCGTTCGCTTCCCACCATTGGCTGCTGCTGTCCACCGCCGTTCACCATTGCCCGCTGGCCAGCTTCTACTGTCCTTCGCCGGTCGCCTCCTCTTGTCCTCTGCCGCCGCCCAACACTGGTCGCCGTCAGCCGCTACCCGCTAGCCAACTCCCACCACCGTCCTCCGCCGTTGGCCGCCGTTTGTAGTCTTCCACCATTGCGCGACGCTGGCCACCTCCCATCGTTAGCCGCCGGCCGCCTCCTGCCACCGTCCTCCGCCGCCGCCCATCGTCATCCGCCACCACTCGACACCGACCCACTCCCGCCACCGTCTTCCACCATCGGCCGCCGTCTGTAGTCCTCCGCTGTCGTGTGACGTCGGCCACCTCCCACCATCGGCCGCTGCCCTCCCGCCACCGTCCTCCACCACCGCCCATCGTCGTCTGTCGCCACCCGACACCGGCCACCTCCCGCCATTGCCAGCCACCTCCGGCCACTGCCCATTGGCCGCTGGGGAGGAAGAAATTTTGTGTCGTTATCAAACAAATTTCTATTTCAGGAATATAAATTTTTTGTCATTATCAAACGGGTATTTTGGCAAAAAAACTCGTCCATGGAATAGAAATAGAAAAATTGATTCTGGAACATAATGATTATCATTCGCGCTTAACTGTTGGAGCTGTATCCATTTGACTGAGAAAAGAAAGGTGCAGTCGGAAGATGGAGACGTGACTGCACCAAAAAACAAGGAAGACTCGGAGAGGCAATCGATGGGGTTTTCATTAGGGTGATCGGTTCTTGGTCCAATCCAGTTTCAAGGTGAAATCAGGAACCGATCATTTTTTTTTTCACCATAACAAGAGAGTGACAAATCTCAAGATATTGACAGAAGTGACGATGAGTGAAAAGTCATTAGGGGTGATCGGTTCTTGGTCCAATCAGGTTTCAAGGTGGCACCAGGAACCGGTCATTTTTTTTGTTTTTTTCAACCACAATGAGAGAGTAATAAATCTCAAGATATTGACAAAAGCGACGATGAGTGAAGAGTCATTGTGATACGATGATTAGGGAAAAACATTGTATGTGGGTTTAGTTCACATTTTACTAATTTTTTTGAAGAAATAAAATATAAGAAAAAAGTATATGTAGTTGGTCCGGTTCAATCGGGTTCCCCTTTGGAATCAGGAATCGGACCGCCCGAATACCGATTCTACTTTTAAGAATCGGGAACCGGACCGAACTGAGCGGTTTCCAATTCAGGCAGTCCGTTTTGTACCCCTAATTTTCATCTCAAAAATAGACAAAATAAAATAACACAGGTGCAATGTTTTTTTGCCTTTTTCTTTCCCCTTCAATATTTTTTCAGGACCTAATAACTTGTGCTTCTTTCTTTTTTTCCAGCTGCTAGTGCTTAGACTCGTTGCAAACACACACGGAAGCATTAAAGACTTCAAAGCAATGGATGAATCAGAGCTCGGGTGGGACTTAAAAAGAAGTGAAAAAGCAGAAACCCCACTAATAAGCCCAGAGAGAGATGAGATGATGATAATACCGCAAGCACAATATTGCAAAAGTTGCAAGGGATGTAGCGGAGCTGTTATGTGGATACGATATCTTCAAAGAGTGTATGACTAAATTAGCAATTCATTAATAGTTTTAGAACTAAATTGACACAATTAAAATGCATATGACTGAATTGGCAAATCATCAAAAGTTTGTTTTAGGATTAAATTGACCAAATTGAAAAGTATATGACTGAATTATCAAGAATTTAATAGGTTTAGGATTTTTTGGTAATTTTCTCCATTGGATCACTTTCAATTTGTCATGGTTAGTCACCTTTGCGCACTTGAAGCCACCACCGGCCTTCACAACGATCCCCACTACGGTCTTCTAGCATTTGATTGAAGGTCTATGAACTCGCATTCAAGGTCCGTCGCCTCAGGAAAATCTCAAATCTGATGTCGACGAAGGTAGATGACCTTGGATTCAAGGTCACGGGCCTCCAAATCAGCGAAAATGGAGGTCTGCAAGCTCAGATCACAGGTCGTGGACCTCCTTCAGCGCAAATCTAAGAAATAGATCAGAGAGAGAGAGAGAGGAACAGAGGTGAGGAGTGGCGAGGGTGTGCCGGTACGGCGTGACTCTGCGATTATCACCAATTCTAACACATCCCATTGCTCCCAAACTGTAACTGGGCAACATAAACACACTGTCATGGTCGCCGCCGTTGTCTCAAGCAACTGGACGGCGAAGAACCGATGGGGGAGCACCTAAACTTAGACTTGGCCGCATTCGCACTCAGCAGCATGCTTGTCCAATTGAGCTCAGGCCATGACGGGGAGCCAAACCAATTGAGATCCCCAAGTTGAGCTTGCTTTCGCTGTCGGCTTGCCGTCCATTTCACGGCAGCTGCTACACTAAGCAAGAAACAAACCGATCAGTAACACAAAAAAGATGGTGAACACTGAACAGTAACCAGAAAAGAATGAAAGAAAAGAAAAAAAAATCAGAAAATTTAGAAAAACCGCTTGGTTTCGTTTAAAAGTGTCAACGTCACATTGGCAGCCATAACACGTGGTATGGTTAGCCACTGAAACTTTCAAGAGATACTTGGTCGGGTCAGGGGGCTTGATAGCATTTTTACTTAAAGTTTAAGCCTACATTGACTCAATTGAAAAATTGAGAACTGAAATTAAATCAGAACAATAGATATGATTTTGCAAGCACACCCAATTTGCTAATTACATGATCCTCACGTATCCAATTCTTTTAAGTCTTCTAAGTCATAACAGTTGATACACATCGACTTGGGCAAGTCGTTAAAATCGTGCCCGTCTGGACCTCTTGTGGACCTGGACATCCCCAGACGTTAAACCCTCAGGGGATAAAGGCAACTCCCACGCCTCGAAAAAGATTGTGACTAGGGTTTCTCCTCGTAAGACTTAAACCTTAATATGTCCTTAAAAGATTACAACCCAATATCCTAGGGTTGTAAATACCGCAAAGGGTATTCCCTCTTGTCAGAAAGAAAAATATATGGTGGAGATTGTGGGTGCATGACATGTGAGCATCAGCATATTAAAATAAGTAACGCATTAGTGAAACCCGTTCACAAACGACAGGCTACGGAGGCTCCTACAGACAAGGCAAGGCAAGACGACAACATATTAGTGCACAAACTAGAAAAACCTGAAAAAACGTGCTTGACTTAGTACAAAGAGTTACAAAGCTCTACCAAATTTCAGCACGGTTATTTTTACGATACAGACACAAAATAAAGTTTCTTTTTTATCCAAAAACCCTAAAAATTGTCTTCCCTCACACTATGCGACCATGTTACGAACAGAAGTCCACAAACAAAAGGAAGACAAATGAACCAGAATCAAATGAGTCCTCCTGAATATAAGCGGCGCTCCATACTGAGGCTGCATGGTCACAAGAAGCGTCGGAGCATGAACGTAGGAAGGCGACACCTCGAAAGCAAATCGCCTGACCAACATGGCCAGAACAACCTTGGCCTCGACCATGGCCAAGTTTTGGCCCGCGCAGATTTTGGGGCTGAGGCCGAACGAGAGGAATGAGGCCAGGTGCTTTCGGGGCCTTGTGAATCGCGTCGGGTTGAACTCATCCGTGTCTTCGCCCCACATCTCGGGGTCGTGATGCACAGCACTGAAGGCCAAGTAGAGGTGTGTTTCTGCTGGAAATTGAAGGCCCCCTAGCTGCACATCTTTACAGGTTTTCCTCGTCACTGTTTCACAACAGGAGAGTACAGTCTGAGCGTTTCATTCAATACCATCGTTACTTGTTTAAATTTTCTCCAAAAAAAAAAAGGACAGAAGAAAAATGTAAGTTTGAGTGGATCCAAAATGTTGATTTTTCAATCATACTAAACTTTCAAAAATTAGGTGGATGGAGTGGTGAAATAGGTCGTTAGGAAAATTTAGGCGAGCCGAATGCTAATCGATAGCAATGAGCTTGTTCATATAGTGAATTTAAAGCATTACATCGACCCCGCTTAAAGAATGAGCCCGTTAGGCCGTACCTAGATAATTAATCGAGACTGAGTATCCATGCATAATATATATTGCGGACACAAAGAAATATTAGTCTCCATGTCATGTACAATATCTTGTTGACAGGTATGTGAGACAATTTGAACTACTTACTTGAATGTGCACACAAGTTCTTCATCGCACATCAGACTATTAAGTTACCACCATCTCATCCTTGGATTGGTCCTGGGGATTTGAGGATGGAGTTTCAAACCTTTTCTTCCATTTAAGAAGCTAGCCCAAGCTCGACTAACGATGATTTTTCTTTATTAGACAGTAAACAACCAATGAAGATAGCTAAAGGGGTCTATTTGTAGTAAAGTGATTAGTGAGGAATAGTGATTAACTTACAATCTTGAGCTCGTTCAGATTTTCCGCAGCCGGAAGCCCGGTTTTTGCGCAGACGCGGATCACTTCTTCCCGGGCCTTGTCCTGCCATTCCTGGTGCTTCGCCAGAAGGAGAAGCGCCCAAATGAGGAGCGTGGCCATCGCTTCTTTTCCCGCAAAGTAAAAAGTCTTGCATTCGTCTATGACTTCCTCCACTCCTAATCATTCTTCCTCGTAGGATGATGTTAGGAGAGCGAGAAAATTGGACAAATTCTCTCTCGATTTCCAGTTGTTCTCGATCAGCTTCCGGACCGAGTGGCGGGTTTCCTTCTCTAGTCTCCATCTCTCCCTATTCTTCTAATCTTCCATGGATATGAAGACCACAGGCAGAGCTAGAGAGATTAATGATGACTGCTCTAAAAGTAGAAAGGTAAAGATTCATGGTTAAACAAAAGACATATCATTGAATCGTGTCTTTTCCCAGAAATAGTATCAAGAATTACTGATCGAGTAACTATCAACCAAGAGAGGATATACTTGTTTCACTGCAAAGTGTACAAACAAATAGAAATGATGCAACATATGTTTCTATTCCTTAGATACCATCTGTACATATATAAGAACTAAGAATGTGAGTACAGTAAATTTGTTTATTGATTGAAATGGAGCAAGTTTAATTAGACCTGAAGCCAGGAATGTAAATATTCTGGTGGGCTTGAGTGAAGAGGTGCATCTGCAGCTCCTGCAAGGCGAATATGCGCTTGCCCTCTTCGAAGCTGCTTCCGAAAGCAGTCCTCGAGATGATGTCAGCCGAGAGTCCGTGGAGCTCCTTCAGCACCTCCACCTCGAATTCCTCTCTTCCTCCTCGTATCTCCTCCCACGCGTCCAGCATCTTGGCCGTACTCTCGACGATCTCGGGGATCCACCCCTAATTAAACTGAAAGTAAACGCATTATGTGAAGTCCAGCGATAGACGTGATGAAGAAAACCACTTACAGTGCAAAGATTTTGAATTAGAATCTGTGCCTTTTCTTTTCTATGGGAACCAGCGAGTCTTACGGATTATGTTATATTTCGTCGGTCCGCCCATGATGTGTATGTCCAAAGGACACCATTTGCTCTAATAAGAAGTGTGTCTGAGAAACACCTTTTGAAGAGGTGCGAGGAGAGTTTCTTAAGGGAAGTTAAGATAACTTCCTCGGTAGATAAACAATTTACTAGAGATGATTCAGAACTCTCTCTCTCTCTCGATGTATAAGGATTTCGTATCTATTTTGAGAAGACAATCGGCATTAACGCTGTGGAACAAGAATACTTTCCCTGTGATTGTAGTCGGACCAATGTGAAGTAGATTCGTTCATCGTTTGCTGATGACTCAACGTACGATTCTGGAAATTTTGTTCGTAGTACATCGAACAGGTTAGTCGATTGTCCTGACACACGCTTCCAACAATGGTATCAGAGCCTCGGTTATGATCTCTGCCTTGTTTTCCCGTTGATTTTTTTTCGCTTGCTGTTTGATATGGAGATCATGATGATGAACTTTATACTGTCTGCATGTTCATTGCTCGGGAATTGCAAGATGAATCGACGAACATGAATTGAAACGAAGAACGGATTTGAACGTTACGGGCGACCGTTCTGTTCGGATGATTTTCGAAAAAAATTTTACGTTGAAAATCATTTTTTATTATATAGAATTGAAGAACTCGTCAAGACGAGCAGAACGGTGGGTTGAACGCCGCCGGAAGATGACGGACGCACCCACACGCGCGGCCAAAAGCCGCGGCGCGTGGGAGCCACGCGCCCAAAGCGCTGGCATTGCCAGCGCGTGAAGGCCACGCGCGCGTCGCCAACTGGCGGTGCTGACGTCATTGATGACGTCAGCAAAACTGTCGGTAACGACACGCTGACGTCATTGATGACGTCATCTCGCCGGCCGTCGGCGACCTAACTCGACCGGCAACCCGACCCGACCCGGACGGTGACCCGACCCGTGACCAGTCAACGGTCAACCGGTCGAACCGGTTGGACCGGTCAGACCGGTCAACGGTCAAACCGGTTGGACTGGATCAGAAGCTCGTATTGGGCAGGCACGTGCGCCACACGCGCCGCGCACTTAGGCGGCGCGTGTGGGCGCGTGGGAGCTCCGATCGGGCTGTGGTTGGTACCGTTGTATTCGTATTGAAATTGTCTACATTGTGGTATAGTTATTTTATATGTTTGAAGCTTTTAAAGGTATGAAAATGCATACGAAACCCTAAATACGTGTATTTTTTGGGTATTATTGCATTTTACTTGTATTTCCCTATGGTTTTGGAAATACAGAAGCTGGCTTTCATGGAAATGACCACATAAAGATTATGTAGAGCATGATTCATTGATGGCATGTTTATATAGTTTGACGTGCTTGCAATTTCCTAATTTTGAGCATACTTAAACAATGGCTGGAAATCCTTATATTTTCATTACGTCATGAATTCCGCTGTTGATTATGTTTGTTGCATGAATGTTTTATTTGTTGATTAACATCATGCCATGCTATATGATTGCTAGAAAGGATGTGATCATTGTTTTAAATATTTTTTGTGAATTATCTTTTCTAGTGGGAGTTCGTAGGTTGGTAGAATTAGAAGAAATTCTCACTTAGAACTTAAAATTTGCACAAATTAAACAAGTTAATGATAGTAGAACAATCGTATGCCGAAACTGATTGGGAACATCATGAACTTTCGTTTTGGTGTCTTTTGTTGAATTATCATTAATTTAGTTTGTCTTTGCTGCAAATTAAAATATGTGTTTATGTGGAAAATGTGCTAGTATTGATTCTGCGTTTATTATGTCAATGTGTAGAAGATAGTGATTATGATTTCGGCATCCAAAACCATTGTGGCTGACCTCAATAAGGGTGAGAAGCTGAACGGTGACAATTATGATATTTGGCACCAAAAAGTTCAATATATCCTTGAGGAGCAAGAGGTTTTGGAAACCCTCAACCACACCATGGATGAACCTGAGTATGGAACTTCTGCTCAACACAAAAGAGATCAAGAAGCTTTTCAAGCTTGGAAAAAGAAAAATAGCATTGCTCGCATCACGTTGCTGAGTTGTATGCAAGATGATCTCATGTGTGAGTTTGAAAGTTATGACAAAGCTCAAGCAATGTGGGTTGCCTTGAAAGATAAGTTTGGGGGTACGTTTGCTACTAAGTTGAGGAGGCTCACAATCAAATTTGACACCTACCGAAAGCGCTCAAATCTATCGATGAGGCAGTATCTTCGGGAGATGTCAAACATGATACGTGAGTTGAAGTCGGCAGGTCATACCTTAACTGATGAACAGCAAGTTCAGGCTGTTATAAGGTCTCTTCCTAACAGCTGGGAACATATGAAAATCAATATGACGCACAATGAGAATATCGTCACTTTTGACGATAGTGCGCGTCATTTGAAATTAGAAGATGAGCGCCTAGAGGCTGCAAAATCCTCTACCCATGCTTATGTTGCTGAATCAGGTTCGGGCAAAGTTTCGAGCTTTAAGAGCAAGAGGAACCATAAATTCAACAACAAATAAAAAGAGACTGATCAGGCACCCAAGAGAGTCAAGACTTTCCGACGCAAGAAGCTTGATGGGAAGAAGGACAAGGCCAAGATGATGTGCTACAATTGTGGCAAACTGGGCCACTTCGCTCGTGAATGCACTGAGCCGAAAAAGGTACCACATTACTCCATTACTTTGAGTAATGCTTTTGTTTCTAGCACTGTAATGCTTGCTGAATCTCATCCAATGTGAACTGTAGATTCAGGAGCAACAGACCACGTAGCTAGAGACCGAGGAGCATTTGTGGAGTATCGTCGGCTACAGCCTGGAAGAAGATGGATATATGTTGGAAATAACTCAAGAGTTGAAGTGAAGGGTATCGGCACATGTAAATTAACCTTTCGTGGTGGTCGAAACCTATTCATACATGATGTCCTCTATGCTCCAGATATTCGGCGAAACTTGATCTCTATAGTTGTTCTTCTTAGCTTAGGTTATGTATTTAATTTTCATGGTGATTGTGTTGACATTTTGTTTGAAATAGTTTATTACGGTTCTGGTTATGTATTGAATGGTTTTATGGTGTTAGACATTGACTATGATGTGTACAAAGTTAATGTTAATGGTTGTTTTTCTTTAATTGCATCTTCTAGTAATGTGGAGATTAATGCAAGTACTTGGCATGCTAGACTGGGTCACATTGGGTTACAAAGAATGAAACGATTAGCAAGAGAAGGCCTTTTGGGGTCACTCGCTAATGTTGATGTGAACATTGTCTAGCGGAAAAAATAACTAGAAAACCATTTGATAAAGGAACCAGAGCTGAACTTCCATTGCAACTTATACATTCTGACATTTGTGGTCTTTTAAATGTGAGGGCGAGGCATGGAGCCTCATATTTCATCACTTTTATATATGACTTCACGCGTTTCGGTTATGTTTTTCTGATCTCCCATAAGTCCGAAGCATTGAATTGCTTTAGGCAGTTTATAGCTTTGGTAGAGAATCAATTGAACAAAACAACAAAGGCATTGAGAACCGATCGCAGACGTGAGTATCTATATGAGCAATTCAAGGCTCTTTGTGATGAAAAGGGAATTGTAAGACAATTGACTATTCCCAGTACTCCGCAACAAAATGGGGTTGCAGAAAGGAGGAATAGAACCGTATTGGAAATAGTTAGGTCTATGATGGTGCAGGCAAATCTACCTATCTCATATTGGGGAGATGCATTATTGACTGCTGCCTATATACTTAATCGTGTGCCCACTAAGTCAGTTGCTTCCACCCCTTATGAATTGTGGACTGGTAGAAAACCAGACTTAAGTAATCTACGACCTTGGAGGTGTGTAGCATATGTTCATGATTCTTCCCATAAATATGGCAAATTAAGCCCTAGAGGGAAGAAGTGTATCTTTATTAGATACTTTGAACACTCCAAAAGGTACGTGTTCATAGGTGAACAAGCTGATGGAAGTATGACTGAAATGGAGTTACGAGATGTCACGTTCTTGGAGACCGATTTTCCTAGTAGAGGTGAGATCGATAAGGACTTCCAAATACATGAGATGGAAGATCTCGATAACACACCCACTAATGTTATTGAGGAAAATACAGATTTA